AAAACTTGGAACCATAAAATGAGTTGCAGGGGTTAGAGCTCAGAGTTATGAATCTTATGTCAATCACTCACTCATATAGGACCGCTAGTAGCCTAATAGTCAGCTGTACCCAGACGATGCTACAGAATGTGTAGCAAGAACGCGTTTGTACAAAAAGTGTCCAATTCTGTGCGGTTTAGCTTTCTCAACCATAAATCGGCAGCGCATTTCTAAGAGTTTCATATTTTGTTTGTTGGCGAAAAAGTACCCGCCTACCCTACTGCCATTACTAGAAAGATTTTTATGCTCTCTTGCTACCGAGCTGAGACCCGCCAGTAATAGAAGCAAGGCACTCCTGACGGAAGACAGAATCAGAGCGGCATCATAAGCTCCATGAAAAAAGAGTTGCCTCATGTGGTTACCACTCATGAATGTGTAAGCGTGACTGATTAAATCTTTCCTTCAGTTTCGAAGAACTTCATATCTCTAGCTTATATTCTGGATCTCACTTCGATTAATATGCAGCGCTCGGGAGATGGGTGAGGATAGGTACATGGGCAGACTTAATGGCAGAGATTTTCATCACTGCGCAACACTTTAATTACAACAGATAGATTTAGTTCCCGCATTACAGCTTGCGTCTGGCTGGTCGGTGTCTTGCCTGCCATCATTTGTGAATGCTACGAAATAATTAAGCTTCTCTGTCGACTCTTCATGCACTTACCAAAGCAGAGCACAATGAATGGCCTTTCTCGAGAAAAAGAATGTCTAGATTTTGGTCAGACTGATTTGATCTTTATTCCTGCCTCATCGCACGTAGCAGCAAAATGATCAAGACTACGTTAGAGCTGATTACGAAAGTGATCCAACATTACATGATTGTCAACAGTCAGCAGAGTGACCTAGTAGAATCTCTGTAACTGCGGCATTCTCCGTATCATAGTTTGCTTGTGCTGACTAAGCTAACATAAGTTATGAGCAGATGAGGAGGAAATACACTCCCATGCGGAGAGTCAGGAAGTACCTTGAAGGCATCGCCTTTTGCCATGAATTTTGACATACCACAGAACAGTTGTGTAAGGATTTGATGGCCCCAGTAGCTGATCATCTACTCGATATTCCTGCAATACTGCCCATAGATTCAACCGTTGTACTCTGTTGTAAGGCTTTTCCAGGTGTATGATGTAGGCGTAGCATTTCATGGCATTTTTTGCCTGCTTGTTGAAGAATAAATCTTGTAAA